TTGAATAGTTGTTTTGAGTGCAGAGCTTGCTGGTTGGTTTAGTCTCAACTTAAGCTGTTTTCAGCAGTAAAGAATATTTTTTTTTTCGTTTCAGTCGTGAAGACTGCTTGGATGACTGCGGACATATTCTGCAAAGCCGGATCTCTGGCAAACTCGGTGTTGACCTGGTTCTGCACTAATCACTTGAAGGATGCACTCAGAGCTAACATGTATCGAAGTACAGACATGACTTCTGGTGGAGGATCGAGTCTTGCTACTGCCAAAACTACAATCAGCCTGGTAGAAAAAACTGCTTTTGCATTTCAACCTAAGGTTTAAAATGTCAATAAACAATTTATTATTTCAAGGTGGGGAGGGTGTTCGATATCTTTATCGAACACCTTTTTTCGAACCGTTTGATTTTTGATTTTTTGAACCGTCGAAAGTAGTTCGTATTGCGCCAAAGGCATTACTCAAAAAGAATTTAGGCCCAGTCAACCCCAAATAGGTGCTGTCAGGCAGTTCAAAAAGGGGTTTGAAAAACGCATTCAACACATCTGGCAACCATTATTGAAGGGAACGCTATTGATTAAGTTTTATGGATTTTTGCAGTTCAGGCAATGATGATTCACATTTTACAGTATACCCCGCTGCGATAGCAATTGCAAAATTTGAGTGAAAAATCACTTCAGTAAAACTAGTTAGTACTATCACCAAGTGAAACTGTTGCAAAGCCTAATTATCGTAGCAGAATTTTTTGTTCCGTCTTTCAAAGAAAGTGCGTAATATTTAAACTTGGGGTGGTTTTTGTATTCAAGAAACTTTTGACTTTTTAGCTAAGCTTTTGACGGAAATGGAACTTGAAAGATAATGTTGTTCTGAGCTCAAATTTTGAAAGCTGAGCTCAGTTGTTCTGAGCTCATGTCACTGGCGGATTAACGCGTTCCAAATTGAAATGAATTGAAAGAAAAGACATTTGGTTGTAATATTAAGAAGCAAGACGCTAAATACATACCTTTGTAGCTTATATAAGCGCGTGGGGGATACACAGAAAAAAAAGCCTTTTTACTTTCGTGTTTTGATAATTTTGACAATTTTTTGAGCAAAAAACATCTTAAGTTTCCTTAAAACTCAGTGGGAACATTCAGGGCTTCGCTCTGACGCACTAGTAGTCTTTTGTTCCAACTTTCGTTGAAAACGACAGAATATTTGTTCTTCAGGTGACTTTTTGTTCTAAAAAAGCTTCAGCTTTTTAACTAACCAATTTTAAGTGGCCGAATTTAGGAAATGGACTTCACGTGTGATCAGTTTCCATAAAGTTTTGGGGGTATAAATATTGCCAGTTTGGCTCAGGAATTGTTTCAAACTGATGCATGCTTTTTGATCTATTCATAACTTTGCTATAAGCGAAATCATTAAAAGGCATTTGGAGCATTCAGGGCTCCGCACTGATACAAGCAGTTTTGTCACGGTTTCGTTCTGAAGGAATAGTTTTGCTTGAAGCAGTGCCCGTTAAAATTTTTTACAGGTTTGCTAAAATGAAAATGTTTAAGTGCAAGTGATTTCCTTATTGTTCCGACTTTTGAAAAAAAAAGAAATATTCGTGCTCGGGGTGTTTTTTTTTCTCCTATCGATTTTCGACTCTTTAACTAACCATTTTTGACGGAATTTGTTTAGTATCATCCAGAAATTATTGTTGTCCTGAGCTTGATCTTCAAAATTTTTTTCACAGTGATTGTTTTTCGTAAATTTATAGGGTTCAAATATAACCACTTTGGTGATTTCGTGATAACTAACGCGCGATATAGTTGGTGAAATTAACGCGTAAGCGGTAATTTAATCCGTTTTAGAAATCCGTTGGCATGCTCTTTGGTCTATTTACTACTTTGATATATGAAAAATATATCACTTTGTTCTTTACATAGCGTGTGGGAGGATGATTTTAAAAAAAACATCAAAAAAATTTGAAAATTACATAGATATTAGGACGCAGTCGAAACAGTCAGGGCTGCTCCATAAAATTATCACGCAGTCGAAGCATTGAGAGATATGAGCAACCTTGATCTTTTAACGTATCAAAGGAAATTTCAAGTTGTTTGAATTTATGCTAGAGTTGTTTTTCTCTATCTAAAAAAAATTGTTTACTTGCAAGTTTTATCGTCGAGTACATCAAGTGTAATCATTTTTTATAAATTCATGGGGGTTTGAGAATTGCTAAAAAATTTAAATTGAATTTTTAAAGTAGCCGTCAATGACCAATCGATGAGGACACTGCTTATGAATGTTGCTAACATTTGTTGAAAATACATCAAAACTTAGTGATTTTGAGTAGGAGCCGAAAAACACATTGGGGGCTATGTGGATATTGGATGCCCCCTCCCCTTCAGTGGTTTTTTCCCATCACCAACCCAAAGAATTCTAAATTTTTTTCGAATTGTTTTCTAATTTCGCCAATAAATAATATTTTTGAAAGAAAGCACAAGCCATAAAAAACGCAAGTTTCGGTCCAAAGTTTCCATAAAACGATTTTTTACCATTTTTTTTCCACAATTTTGTTCCACAGTTTTTTTTTGTCTCATTGGATCTATATAGTGTTCTCAGAGCGCTCGGAAAATGAATTTAGTCGACCTAAAAAGTCCGCCCTCACGAAAAAACCCTAGGTTGTCCATTGCATTCAGTGATGATTAAATTAATCGGACACAAGAAACAGTATTGATTTTGATAATTAAACAAGAATTACGCTGTAACTACAGAATGAATTGATGAGAAAGTTATATAAAAAGAAACCTGTAACACAGCGCAACATATTTTTGGAAACAAATTCCAAAATTCAGTGTAAGAAAATGTGTTTTTGATCGATAGCCAAAAAAGCTCATTTTTACTATAAAAAAAACAAAAGTTATAATTTTAGATTGAAAAAAAATTTCAAACGTTTTATGGAATTTTCGGAGGTTTTACCTTCTAAACTTTGTTAAGATGTGAAGAGGGCTTACTTTTATATAATTTTCTCATCAGTACAATTTGTAGTTTCAGCGTAATTCTGGAGGAGTTGAAAAAAGTCAAAGTTACTCGTTCTCGGTTAAAATTTGGTTGAAAATTTCGAAAAAATTGTCACATATTTTTTTCTGGTGACTTTCTGAGCAATTTTTGGTATTCATCCCTTTTTTTTCTAAAATGAACACAATTTGATGTAAACGCGTTTGAAATTTCTAATTTTATTCGTTTTGTACAGATAATTAAAATTAGCACTGTGTTATCATATCAGATTTGCTGTTGCTTCTCAAAATTGTCAAAATTTGGAATGTCTCTTATAGTGAACAATTGATTAGACATGATTCGGACCTTATACCGCTGAAATAACCCTTGACCTTATTCTCCTTTAGAGGGAAGGGAAGGATATTTGCAATTATGTACCATATATCAATTGTTTTTTTTTGTAAATGGACACAATTTCTGCGGCGAAAAATGTACATGGTGCACAAAATCTCATCGAACCTTCGTTTGAAATCAATCAAGTTGAAGAACATATGTATACGGTACACTTTTTGCTTGACAATAATGCTATCATAATATTTTTGTTTTAAGTTATCGGCACTATAAAAACTTATAAATATTATAGCTTATCATTCGGAGAACACCAGCTTGAGCGGATACTGAAAGCTATCCTGCTTGTTTATTGTCGCAAAAAGTGATTTCTTGAATGATTTAATGGAGGTGCGTTTTATGCGCATTTTTGCTTAATTCTTATTGTCTGAAGTTTTGTTTGCTCTGATTTTAATTTCTCCTTTACTAAGTTTAAAACCAAAAAAAAATCAAATTTAATATTAAGTTTTTTTTTAGGTTTCTTAGAATTGTAATTGAATATTAGATTAGTCAGACTTTCTGTGCTAGCTGCCAATAGTGCGTGTGTTTTTCTTCTATCTTGAACCGAAATAAAAAATCAAACTTTGATAAAAGTTTCTTTATTGAAGCTGTGCATATAAACAGAAACAATTGAAAACATCAATACATCAAATTTGAAAACAGAACATACTTGACAACAAATAACAAATCGTAAGTAAGTTGTTCTCTAGTGAAAATTGAAAACAGATAGTTTCAAATATAAATGCAGTAAAATGAAGGCAATAATTTTTCAGTAAACATATTGGTCACACAGAAAATTGCTACTTTTATTTTGCTTTTAAGGCGTTCCTGTCGGTGTTACAGCCTTTTGACGTCATCCTAAGTGTATTAGCTGCATTTTTACTTGAAAACGTGTTTAAAACGTGTTTATTGAAATCGTCGAATGCGACTGCTCAAATGATCTCAATTTCCATGATGTGATTTTTGTTGTCTTTTCAAAAACTGTTCAAAGAAGTTAGATATAAAAAATACAACAAAATTTGAACTTCCCATCTCAATAGTGACAATTTTTCAGGGTACACCCAGGAGTTGCAAATTTTGCCTCCAAACGTGACTGCTCAAATCCTTGTAGATGTTGAGATGTGACCTTTTTTGTGAATTTTTCAAAAATTTTTTGGAAAACGTAAGTTAAGTTTTTTCTGAATTTGAAATTCCTAACCCTGTAGTTGAGAACTTTCAAGGTACTCTCAGGAGTTGTGAGTCTTGCCTCCAAATATGATTGCCAAAATTTTATGTAGTTTTTGGAGATTTGACGTTTTTCGCGATTTTTTCAAATTTTTCAAAAAAACCTAATTCAATTTTTTTTCTCGAAAATTGTAATTCATAACCCTGTAGTTGGGGGCTCTCAGAGTGCTATCAGGTGTTGCTGCTAAATAAGACTGCTAAAATTTTGTAGTTTTTGAGATATGACGTTTTTATGGTTTCAAAAAAAAAAACTTTTTTTAGAAAACTTAATTTTGAAGTTTCTCAAAGTTTGAAATAGTCAGTGCTGTACTTTGGTATTTTGCGAGTACTCTCAGGCGCTGCTAACTTTGCGTCCATATGCAACTACTCAATGGCTTTTAGTTTTCTAGATGTGACATTTTTTTTGTAATTTTCAAGATTTTCAAAGAACTTGGATTTTATAAATTTCGCAAAATTTTATGGTTTTTCAAAATTGATTTCAAAAAAATTCATTAAAAAATTTTACAAAATTTGAAGTTACCACTCTGTAATTGGGTGTTGCCAGAATTGACTCAGAGGATGCAGACTTATTTCCGGCATATGCGGTTTTTTTAGGAGTTGCTAAAAACTCGAAGCACCGGAGTTGCGTTACAGGCCAGTATTTTCTAACTCTTTAACAAAACGGGACATTCTCGTCTAGATCGTGTTAATACTAGCAGTTTTTGTGATCCCCGGTCTATCACATACAGACGGCAATGTTTTTTTTTGTTTCAGGTAAATATACATTTTGGTTTGGGGCAAAAACATTGATCTTCTGGGGGCTCGAACCTACATCGCACCGGTCGGCTCAATTTCTAAGCATTTATCTAGACCTCTCGATCAACCGGTCCTAATTCTGTTCAACTTACTCGAATTTTTATTCTCGCTTATGAAAGGCTATGTGCGTGGCAACCGTTTTTTTTCCAACTTTTTTAGTTACAGATTTGGTAAATTAGTTTATATGAATCGAAACCTCCATCAGTTTTTTGTAGCGTTGTAGGCTTGAAAAATGCCAAATATTTCCTGTTCTTCCTGTTTTTCCCATTAACACGAAGGCTGCGAATAGACTGGTGAATAGATGAAGGAGGTGCATAGATGCTATACGAGAATTATATTACTTTGTACTGTACTTGGGAAAGGTTTTCAGACAATTGATCTGATGCGAGCAGTCTTGCCGGCTTCTAGTATAGACAACCGCTCAGTAAAATGTGCAAAAAAGGTTAATAAATTTGAGAAAAAAATTGGACATAATTTACATGCCTCCCTATCGTGTCTCAGGGGGGGGGGGTAGGGAGGGGTTGGGGGAAGGTTGTTCTGATATTAGTTCTTAATTGGAATTTTCAGCTAGTCAGAATCAAGTATTTTACAAGCAGCACCAATCTATTTGAATTTTTTGTCTATTTAGGGGAAGTTTTTTTGCGATACGCAATTATGGCCTCCTTTTTCTCAGCCCGAGGAAAAAATAAAGGTCTACAAAAATAAGCTCGAATAAAATGAGTTCATGTTTTGAATCGTTTTAATTAGTCATAACTTACTTTACTCTCACAATCAGACCGAAAATTAAAAAATCATTGTGAAAGGATCTAACCTACTTTTTTCGAGTTTAAATTTTGAACCTTAATGTGCGAATATTAGTTTGCTCAGTCTATATGATTAAAAATTGCCACTCAGATTTAAGTTAAACAAGAATAGCTGGTGGCTGATGAAGGATCACATACTAATCAGACTGCAGTGATTGGTGTATATAATTTCAAAAATAATTAAAATCTAAAAGAAAAAAAGATAATGCGACTATTGCTTGAATTTTTTAAACAATTTTTTCAAATTAATTTTGCTCGTATTCTTTTTTTCTGTGAAGGGAAAGAAAATTAGTTTTTACGAGACTACGTAAGAGCTAATTTAATGGGTAACTCACAGGAGAATTAAATTGAGAGTCAATTTACAAACGACGGAAAAATTTCAGACCATCTTTTCGCGAAACTGAGACATCTATTCAAATATTTTTATGAAACTCGAATCGTGTCCGTGAAGTTTTTAATATGATATATCATGCTTTCCTGGAGGCTCCTAGAAATGGGTGGGAAAACACTAGCTGATACGTAGTTCTTTCCCGCCACTTGAATAACGTCGTCTGAACGATTACCCGAAACCAGGGGCAGAAAGTAATTAGGCCAAAGATTATCCTTATATTTTGTTTCAGGCAATTTCCCCCTGCAGAAAACCCGCTCTCGTTCCTAATGGCTGCCAGAAACCCTATTTAGGAGGACCTAAAAATCAGAGAAAACTGAAAGCAAGACACCCGGCCCCAAATGTGCGTCAAAACGGAGCAAAACGGCCCAGTCTAAATACTAGTGGGAGACTTCAAAACTCGCACATCAAGACGAGCAGTTTATAAATAAAATCAGTATCAATTACTTTCACCCAGTGAGCGACCAAATTAAATATCATTATGGCGTATTACCTTGCGTTGGGTTTTGTAAATGTCTATACGTGTGATGTCCAATTTAGTTTTTGTTTATGACAATGGAAAAAATCTGTGAAAACAGAAGTTTGGTCTGATAAAAATTTGGTGATAAAAATTTGGCGTTTAATATTTTAATGTTATGCTAGTTAAAGGTAGATTTAAAACGAGAGCTTCAAATACGGTCGGGCTCATCATATGTGACGTGCTGTTCTGTTGTAGCTAAAAAAATTATTCAGCAGTTTAAATTTTGATTGTGGTTTTTTTTTCCGACACAGGTCCTGAATCTTTAGGTCTTGCATGTAATTTCTAAACCACTGTGCCAATTTTCTGGGTCCAGGTTAGGGTGTTGGATCTCTTTAGCTATATCCCCCGTTTTGCAAAATAGGAGAAGATTCGTCCCTAGGTATAAAAATTGGATATGCTTAACCGTTGATTTTTTTTCTTTATTGGGGATATTCGTTACTAGGTACGCGAGGGGGAAATAGTGAAAGAAAATCATGGTTTTATGTTCAGAACCTGGTGATCGTTTTGTTTTCAGGATAGTGGGGGCTAGTAATTGTTACGATCAGGCTGTAGAAACAAAGAATAATCCGCAAATATAGTGGCAAGCATGAGTATTTTATACCTAGTGACATTTGCCAAAAAATAACGAGTCAAAACTTAGTTGTCTAGTAAGAAGTAAATTGATAGATTAGTTGTTTAGTTAGTTGCAAGAGTTAATGCTAGATACTTAGTTCCAATTTAGTATTTTATCAGTCAGAACTTTGACAGAGAGAATATCGAGCATAAGAGAGATAAATAGACATCTAACAAACGATGTAGCAAAACAACAGAGTGTCCACGCACAGCGTGGCATTCAGTATAGGCCAGATCTGTGGCCTTGATTAGCAACGATGAATATAAGTCTGCAGCATGGCTGCAAAAGGACAAGTTGTGAGCGAGGTACCGAAGGTCGCCTCATGAAATTACCCGCGGGAGAATTTTTTTTTTAATTAGTCCAAAAAATTGTAAAAAAAAAGAAAATGAACTGCACCCAGGTAAGCCTTAGATTGATAGCACTCCTATCCCACACAAATGCTTGGTGGCAAAGAATTTGAAACGAAGTATGTAAAACAGAAAGTTTCATAGAGTTTTGTAGAGTTTGATATTCTAAGACTAGTCAATTGTCATCGAGAGTTTTGTTGACTTTGGCAAATGAGGAAGAAGAAACCTCCATTAAATCTATATGAGGTCGCTCGCGAATTAGGGGTTTTCATGGCAAGGCAAAAACGGTAGAGCACTTCCTGAGGGCAAATCCTGAGCCTCCTCAACCAGTTTAACAGAGTGGCGTAGAGGGTCACCGAAGAATTTTGTGGTTTTTTTACTACGTAGAGAGGTCCTGACCGCCTCTGAATCATCCACCAATGGCTGAGCAGGAAGAGATAACGAAGGATAAGAAGAGTGCGGTTCTTAGAGCGCGTTTTGTGAGGGTTGGACGAAACCCTCCGGAGACACACCATCCGGAGATAGAAACTCGGTCCGAGGATCTGCTGGGCCAGAACCAGTAAACTGGGCAGCAGAAGCAGTAAGGGGCGAAAGGGTTGCATTATCCATGTTGAGCTGCTGAGAAGTAACACTCGTATTGGCAAACGTAACAGGCGGCGAATCGTCCTGCAATTTGAGCCGTTTCTTAACTGGCCTAGCTTCCCTGACCACTTGTAAGTGGTTGAGCCCAGACGAGCCCTCACTAGACGAATCAGCTGTAAGATCCACCACCATCGTGTTAGACAAGCTGGGGTCTTCCGGCCGTTTCTCCAACATCACTGGCTGAGAGCGAGTAGCTGACCTTTTGACTGCACTGCGAGAGATCGATCCTGAAGCTTGAAGAAGTTCACCTAGTAAGTTTTGGCCAGCTGAAATGTTATAACGAAAGTTAGGCTTAAGGCAAATATGGTTTTTACGATAAAGTGTTCCTTTGTCAGTAACATAAGTCTGATTGGTAATCCGAGTAATTTTGAATTTTGCAGTCTTATAAAAAGGTTTTCCGGATTGACGATCTATAATTTTCCCTAAAGACTCTAACTCGACTAGGTTCGGAGAATAGAAGTTTTTCGAATTTACTTTTTGTAGGACGACGAGGTTGCAGGGCCGGTAACTTTAGGGAACTAATTTGAACCCCTGGAGGCGTAGAACCAGACCCAAAATCCGAGAAACGAAGAGTGTTACGTGTTCAGAGAATGAGCAAGGTCCGAATGACGATTTGACAACTCTTGTAGGACCTGCTTACCCCCGTCCCACGGGAGGTTTCGTTTGTACTGCGACCAATTATTTGCCGCCCGAGCGAGTTCGGCCAGTGCCTTGTAAGATTCACTTTCAGCAACATTACCGTCTAGGGAAAACATCGGTTTGAAGCGGGGAGTAATCGTAGGGCTGGCACTTCCTCTGGGTACAACCTTAGCGCGATCCCAGCTATAGTCCTAGCTGGTAATCTTATCCGGCGTAAAGAGGTTCCGTTCTAGTCTTTGGGCTGAAGTATCAGGTTGAACAACGTTATGATAAGCTTGAGACTATTCGGTATTTGGCTTACGACCGAAATGAATGTAACTCGAAAAGCGATTTTTTAAGCACAGAACGACTACTCTTGCGAATGTCTTCGACTATTTGTTGAATCGTTTCCTTAAAATGGTCAAGTTGTGCTAATTTAGTTAAGCGACAAGGCTGGAAAAAACTGTCTCCCGGAATCCGCAAAAGGGCCGGTTTTCTGTGATCTGTTTGATTTTGTGGAAACCAGTGAAAACGTCAGCTATATCAGCAAGCTTTTGGGAGTCCAGAAGAAAACTTTCGGTATTCATACCATACAGTTATTGAGTCTTCTTAATTGTTTCCACGTTGAAAATTGATACGTTTGTTAGGTTCAAATTGCTGCGGTTTATGAGGATTATACGAATTAATAAGAAAATCTGAAGAAAAGAAACCATCCCGAGCACAAAGATTCCGTATTTTCTTCAAAAATAGTCGGAATAGTGTTTATTGTACAAATTGCTCATGCTAATAATAATTTTGTTCCGTCTTTCGTATCGAAAATAACGAATTATTTGTGCTAGGGGTGGTTTTTTTCATCAGACAAATTTCGACTTTTCAACTAGCCTTTTTTGACGGTATTTTTTATCATTCGAAAGGTATTGTCGGCTTCAGCTTGAATTGGAAAGTCTATTTCACCTGTGATCATTTTTTGTAAACTATGAGGGATTACAGATTGTCATTTGGGCGAAGTTGGGACAATTTACGCGCGATATAATTCGCGCTATTAACGTAAGCGGAGATTTATTCTGTCTTAGAAAAGGTTTGAATTTGGTTCAATGAAGATTGTTTGTCATAACTGATTTGTACTAGGAGCAAAATTTATCACTTTGCAATTTATGAGGCGAATGGCGGGATGGTTTTTACAAAAAAAAATTCAAATATATATTTTTTTAATTTCGATTTTTTACATTCAATTTTTTCATGTTATCACTACTACACTACAGACCTTAAATAGCAGTCAGAGCATTCAAGGCTTCGCTCTGATAGCAGCAGTCTTGTTTTCTTTTTATTATATTTTAATCGTTTTATATTTTCGAAAAAACTCGTGGTTTCAAAAAGAACGAAACTGGAAATTTTACCAGAATTTATTTAAAACAACTGATTTTGCAAAACTCGAACTCTAAAATTTATCAAAAAAATTAATATTAGTTTTTGTTAGTAGATCAAAAAATACGCCAATTTTATTGTCGCTATTAATAATCTTATGAAATCAACCGTACTATTTTCCCCCTAAATCAATATACGGGGAGAAAAAACCAATTTTTCATGAGCTAACTTTGCGAAAAGCCTAGATTAATTCAAAATTAAGCATTTCACAAATGAAAAAGTAAATTGAAACTTCAATCTAAGCAATTACCAGGCTACCAATGCAATACCGCATCCCAAATTGTAATAACCGGTCGGTGTTATTTGCGCAATTTACTGAAATGCATAAGTAGTAGATGTTGAGGCTGAAGTGGGGGGGGGGGTGCATGGAAGACCCCATGTATTAAGATACGTTCATGGTATGTATTAAGATTGAGTATAGAGTCTACAATTCATTAAGATAGGGAATACTGATGGTAAGGTTTCAGTGTGATGGTAAGAGAAAGAAAAACGTAACTTTTTGGTTTTTGTCTAGTTTTTTCGCAAAAATCTCGTCGCGCGTTATCTAATTGGGAATAATTAATTGTTAATTACTTGAAAGTTGTAGAATTAAGGTTAAATTTTTAGTTTTTTGTTGCATGGTAAGTCAATGGTAAGAGTTTTTGTGCAAAAACTTGGAATTTTTATCAAAAAAATTGAAAATTTTTTCGAAAAAATTCAAAACACGATAAGATTAGCTATTATTTAACCTAATTTATTAGATAATCTTATTTTTATCTACTTGAAAAAATGTTGAAAACTACTGAAGTTTCGAAAAAATTCAAATTTTTTGAGAAAAAATTGCAAAAATTTCAAGGATTTGGAAAAAATTGCAAAAATTTCAAGTATTTGGAAAAAAATTACAAAAATTTCAAGTATTTGGAAAAAATTGCAGAAATCTCATAATTTTGGCTAATGTATTGTTGCTTTTGATCTAATTTTAAACATACTTTTACGTATAGATTTTAAAAATAAGCTAAGACTGTATTTTAATTGGCATTCTGTTGAGACAATGATACAAAATTTTGAAGAAAAAAATAACTTTTTCCACAATTTTTTCTCAAAATATTGAAGTACAATGAAGTTTACCTTAATTTGAGCTAAATATTTGGTTATACAATGCTCTAAACACTGAAAAGAAGGTTCATAGTAGCAGAATCAATATTGAAACTTCCGGAAAACAGTGAAATTAGTCGTAACTTTTGAGAAGGTAAAATAAAAAATAATCAAATTTACATGAAATTTTCCATTTCGAACCTTATATTTTGGTTTTTAACTGTTTTTTTTACCAGTTCAGGGATTATTTTTAGGAATCTCAATTCAAATGTACATTAAGGGCAATATTCTATGAAATTTCTAAATCAAACTCCATGATTCAACTCCTCCTCATTTTTTTCTCATTGAATTACCCAAATTTGTACAAAAATTACAACTTGTGAGAAATCTTTTATGTTAAAAATTAGAAATTTCAGATTAAAAATGAACAGTTTATTGCTAAAATTGTTAAAAATGGGATGAATGTTTATTAAAAGTTT